TTCAAAGAAAGTTGGTTTGTTCATTCGTTCAGTGGAAAGATTTACCAATGATTTCTTTGATCTCTACTGCTTTCTTTGGCGGGATGGCACTCCTAGATGGGAGAAGGATGAAATGGTTTGGCAGAAAGAGCAAGAGAAAGAGTGGACAACGGTAACATACAGAAAGAAACCCAAGCAGCACAGGAACAGGGTCTCTTTTGCTCATAAAATTGTTCAAGCTTCGCCTCCGATCAAGTCTAAGCCAGTAGAGATCTCTGTTTCTAGGCTGAAGCCTGCTACTCACCCTGTGATAAGATCAGTTCGTATTGGTGATTTTCTTTGCCCCCTGCCGTCAAACGATTCTGGTTTCAGATTCTTTCCATCCAAAGCAAAGTTTGGTTGGTGTTCATTCTGTGTTCAACAAGCTTCAGAAAGATTTCGAAAATTTTCAAAATTTGAATAGCCAGCAGAAGTCAAAGTGCATGCAGTGCCCTGACAATGGCACTTGTGTGCATGCAGTGCAGGGCAGACCTGAGAAGGATGCACATTGGCTGAGTATCCATGAGCATGATGGCGTTTTACTGCATGTGGGCCGGGTCCCTTCTCCCCAGGTCGCTCCCCGCCCACCCCCCTAAACTGTGTTTTTTTTCCTTCTGGCGGCCCAATTGACCCGGCCCACCACGCGCAAACGCCTCCGCACTCCGCCGCCCAGCGCCGCCGCCATGGCTCGCCCCTCGCCTTCACGAACTCCTCCACCCTCTGCGGCCGCGGCATGCCTCCCCCGCCCTGCGTCGTGTGGGTGAGCGGACGATGCGTTAGTGTTGGTCGGAGGCTATTCGCTCCCCTGTTCGTGCTCCCCTGTTCCAGACGCCATGGATGAGCTCCAGGAGCTCTCAAATCGACAAGGGTGACGGGCAGGAGGGCGGCTAGGAGTTAGGGAAATCGAAGTAGTAGGCTATGGCGCATCCATTTGAGGCATCAATTTGGGAAGTGACTGTTGGGAACGACTGCTGCGACGGGAAGTCGAGGTGGCAGCCATGGCTGCTCGTGGGAATTGAACAATTGAATACTTAGATTGCTGGAACAATTGATTTCTTCTCGTGGAACATTTGGTTTAGAAAGATGGAACAATTGGATTCTTTGCTTGGAACAACCGTTTTACATGGTTGGAACAAATGGTTTCTTCATGTGGAACAATTAGTTATAGTTCCTGGAACAATTAGTTATAATTACCGGAACAATTAGTTTTAATTATTGGAACAATTGATCGTAATTGTTGAAACAATTGAATTTAGTTGGCTGAAACAATGGATTCGGAATCTCTGATTTTGCTGACAAGCAGCGCTGGCCATCCGAAACCTTATACACCGCGCGCGCGGTATTAGTGATCTACCGCGCGCGCGGTTTGGGCCGGAATCAGCATCACTTTTGGCCCGCTAACACCTCAGGTCGTCATCTTCCATCTTCCGACTAGCAGAACCTCGCTCCGCCGCCGCTGTCTCGTGTTCCCGTCGTCGAGCATCCCCCACTCCTGCGCCGCCGCAGCTTCCTTCCTTCGGCGTGTGCCTGCGCCCTTGCGCCGCCGCGTCCTCCTTCTGCGCCGCTCCCTTTCTTCCTTTCTCCTGCGCCGAACCATCCTCGCACCCCCGCGCCGGCGCCGCCCCACGCGCCGCCGTGGAAAGCAGTTGTTCTGGCCGCTAGAAGGAGTTGTTCTGGCCCCAAAGATGAATTGTTCCGGACGGTAGAAGCAATTGTTCCAGAAGCAACAACCAATTGTTCCAGCGCACAAAACAATTGTTCCAGCCATTTTTTCCATTGTTCCAGCCGTTTCTCGAAGGAGTTGTTCCGGCGCTTGAAGCAATTGCTCACCGGGGCTTCAATTGTTCCATGTGCTTTTCCAATTTGTTCTAGCTGTAGTTTCCAATTGTTCCACGTGCTTTCTCAAATTGTTCTGGCCGTATTATCCAATTGTTCCAGCTATTTTTTCCATTGTTCCAGCCGTTTCTCGATTTGTTCCAGGAGGAGCAGGTCGCTGTGGCGGCAATGGCGCACTGGCAGGTCGATGGCTGTGTCGCTGTGGGAGGCGATGGCACACGGGTTGACTGTCCCTAGTTGAAGTCCTTTGAAATTCTAAGTCAATGTAACACTAATTTGAGAGATGTAAACAATTCTTACTGGAATTCTTTGTGAGATGGAACACATTTAGTTCTATCTGATTGTCCAACAAATATGAATGCGAAAAATTATATTACAGTTACTGTTGGGGTTTACACCTCCGAACATAGAGAGAACGAAGATAAACGGAGATTCCTCGAAGGGATAGAAGGAATGGGCCAAGAGAGAAGAGCATATGAGTCAATGGCCAAAAAGTCCCCTCCCCCAAGCCCTTGGGCTGTATTTATAGGGGAGATGGGATGGCTCTTTCTCATTTATTCCATTAGTGGGGATAAATATTACAAATAAGTCCTCAGACTTTACAAAGAGGTCCCTAGATGCTGCAATGAAGCCCTTAGACCTTACAAATGGGTCCTAGACCTACACACATTGGCATCTTTGTACACAAAATGGGGAGTTCTAGCCTATGGTACATATGGCTATCCCCAACAGTTACGTTTTCATTATTGTTCCAGCTTTCATAAAAAGATGTTCCAGCTGTTCAGTTTTTTTGTTCCAACTGATTTCTGTTCGTTTCGACATATATATACTATATGAAGGTTCTAGCTGTTCCAGCAGATGATTATATTGTTCTGAGAGATTAATCAGGTTGTTCCAAGCAAATAAGATGATTGTTCTGGTAGGTGAAGTATATTATTCCACACCCTGTGTTTAGAATGCCTATTAGTAAGATGTTCTTGCGGCTTACTTTGATTGTTACAGGTTATAATGAAATTAGTTCTACTAATTTTATTGTTCCTATAGATAAATGGGCTTGTTCCACACTACTTGTTGCAACTGTGCAATATGCTCGTTCCAACAGGTCACTGTGACTGTTCCAAATATATATTGTACTTATTCCAGCTAATCAGTGAAATGTTCTGCTAGCTTACTTTCATTGTTTTAGATTATAAGGAAAATAGTTATAGTAGTTTCATGGCATTTTCTCTGGCATTTCAAATATATTCTTCCACCTGATAAAACTTCTGTTGTTTCAACAGTTCACCATGTTTGTTCCAACAGATCATTGTGCTTGTTCTAGCTACACAGTGTGATTGTTCTAGCTGCTCAACTAACCATTCAAAAGTTCAAGTAGTTTGTTCCTGCCTATTAATCAAATTTGTTCCACCAGACACTCTCAGATTGTTCTGACCTATTTTGCAATTAAAAAAATTGGACATTATTTTCAAATGGCCCCACGACATATTACTGGTTTACTAATTGTTCCTGTACTTTTCGTGGAATTGCTTCATTCTAGTCTGCTTATTATTTTGCTCTTCGGTCATTCTGCCCAAATAATCTTTTCAGTACAAAAATCATGCGGAATGAACTCGCTATTAAGTCATTCAAACGCGCACTAACTTTTCATTTCGATGTACAGATTTCCGTAGCAGCGTAGCTGAATGCTGAACAGAAGGCAGTTGCCGAACATGCGAAATAGTCGAACAACCCAGACGTCCAGAAGCCGAACAGGAAAGAAAAAGGCCCGCGGCCCAGCAGAACAAAGCACGGCCCGCCAAGAAAGAATTAGAAGGCGCGCGCGGTAGTTATCACGAACCGCGCGTGCGGCATCGAAACGGCCCGGCTGGCCATGGGGTTGGGCGGTGCAGGAAAGGAGATGAAGGCGAGAGGAGGAAGAAGAAAGGACCTAGCTAGGCTTTGTATGTTGCTGGGCTGTGTTGAACTCCCTGGCGTCCTGGGCCTTGATGGGCTGCACCGCGGGTCGGGGTGGGCGGAGGACGGCGCGCTGTTGAACAGGGCGGAGCTCCCCCCACCCCAGTTGCATTTCTTCCATCCGGTCGGGGCCTCCATCTCCCATAGGCCAAGGATCTCTCACCAAGATAGAATGCAAGATTTGAGTCGCAAAGCTACAGCTGAGCTGTCTGCCAGAGACCTAAACCTCTGCTTCCGCTGCTTATCTCCTGATCACTTTATTAGGAACTGTCACAATGACATTAGATGCGGAGCGTTCTATGCATACGGCCATTGGGAAAGTGTGAGTTTAAGGACGAAAGCCAATCAACTACTGAGATTAGTGATGTCTAAACGGGCGGCCCGGCACGGCACGGCCCGAGCCTTAAACGGCACGGCTAAGGATGGCAATTTCGTCCATCGGGTGCCCATGGGTGTGGGCACCCGATGGGCGTGGGCGTGGGTGTAACTTTTCGCTCATGGGTGTCGCCCGAACCCGACCCGACTCGGACATGGGTGAAGAATGGGTGTCGTTTTTCACCCATGGGTCATCCATGGGTGACCCGATTATAGCCTATTCACGCCTTCCCACTTCCAAACGCGACACCATCACACTCTCCCTCATTCTCGTGAGTTTAAAATGATGATAAACCTTCATTTAATTGTTGTGAAAGATGTATTGTGACTAAGAATGTGACTTTATATATCTATTTACCGAACTTTCATGCCGTGACATGATAAATATAAGTATATTTGTCAAATTTTTTTATTTTGTACATGTGTTTTATGTATTTTGTGCTACACCCGATGGGCACCCGACACCCACCCGAAACCCGATGGGCGTGGGCGTGGGTGTCAATTTTCACCCATGGGCGTGGGTGTGGGTGTCATTTTTCACCCGAGGTCGTTTTCGTGGTGGGTGGGTTTTTGCTCCACCCGACCCGAACCCGACTCATTGCCATCCCTAGGCACGGCACGTTTAATTTCAGGCCGGCACGGCACGTTATTTTTATCGGGCCATGTCGTGCCGGCCAACGTGCCTGGGCGTCGGCCCATGGCACGGCATGTTTATGATTTTCATGCCTAACCGGCCCGTTAAGCCCGCATGCTTTGCTGCCCATTACCGTTCTTTCAGCCCAATAACATTGAAATTGTTCAAAACTAAACCAAAAATAAGACAAGATGGGGGTTTGAACTCATGACTTTTAGCTTTGAAGGCTATTGTCTTACCACTAGACCACTAAATCACTTGTGTCTAATATGAAACATATATTAAATTCAATATCGTGTCGTGCCGTGTCGCTCGTTCGGCTTGACCATCAGCCTGTGGCACGGCACGCACGGGCTAACGGGACGGCACGGCCCTAAATTAATCGTGCCGTGCTGTGCTTGGGCTGGGCCAAAAAATCATGCTATGTGCCCATCCGCTTAGCCCGGCCCATTTGAACATCACTAACTGAGATGGAGAATCAAAGAGAAGATCACCAAGCCTAGTGAGACGGCCCAAGGCCCGTCACACACAGGCACTAACGGGAGGGGAACTCAAGCATCTAAAGCTGCTCTGTCCGCCTCTCCTCATTCCCTCCAACACACAACAGCTCCACAGCGAAAAGCTCTGCTCCTCCACGCTGCAGCTGAGCTCGCCCCAATGGCGAACTTCCCCGTCGACGCCAACCCGTTCATTGCGCCGGAGATGGTGTTGGACCCGGCTGGGCTGAACAAAAAGCCGTGAGCTGAGGTGCACTTGGGAGGCAACATCATCTGTGCACATGAGGATCATGTCATTGCGGTTGATGAAGACAATGAAATCAACCCTGAAGATCGACCCATGTTTCTGCAGCAGATCAGACACTACATCACCAACGTCTTGCGCATGCATGTGAGTTTCTGCAGAATCCATCCTTTGGGCATAGGTCTGATTCAGGTGGATGACTCTCTACAGAGAGATAGGCTCATTTTAGGCAACCTGCATGTGATTGATGGTTTCAGAATTAGATTTGTGAGACATGACAGAGCTAGGAACTTTCGGCCTGCACCTTATGCTAGATTTGGCTGGATTCTGTTCCTAGCGTTTCCTCTAGATTACATGGATCTCGAGCACAGAGATCAGGCTTGTGCTTCATTTGGCAAGATGGTTCAGTGGCATGATAACCCTAGGAACAAAGCTTTGGTGCTTGTGAAATGTCTGTATGATGATGGTGATGCAGTCCCTAAGCTAGGAGTCTTGTCGTTAGGCAAGGGGAGCCACATATGGGTGATGGTCCCTCCTGGACAGTGCCCATTTATGTGCTGAACTGGGAGGAATACAACAATGTGCCTATAGACATGGATGCCATTCCAGAGGATGGCAATCCTCATCCTCTGGAATGGCAATCCTCATCCTTTGGAATGAGGATTGCAGTGCATATAAAATCTTGTCCTCACAGATCATAATAGTAAGATACACTCAACACATATAACGAAGAATACATAAGAAATGAAACTACACCACAACATGAACCCACAATAGATGCAGCATCCCATACAATAAAACGTTGTACACAGATGAGAATAAAAAGGGTACGTAACAATGCAGTACATCCAGCCTGCAACTTAAAATAAGATTACGGGCTAAGGGAAAAAAGCACACCATGCATGTTCCCCCGAACAAACATTATTTCCTTTATTTTCTTCTAATTATCAACTTATTAACTCGTACTTCCACAAATGCTTTTGTGATCCAGTGGCATATTTTACCAGACCAGGTGCACTTCAAATAAGCCAGTTAACATCCTTAACCTGTATAGATTACAACAAGAAGGTAAAGTTAACTCACATGTTACAGCCTTGCAAAGGCATAAGTTGTTGATATCTATAGCTGGCCCCTTAGTTATCATACATGTAGATAAAGGCCCCTACAATGAACATTCAATAGTAAAAGATTTCTTTGAAACCAAACTTTGTAAACCTTTATTATGCTGTTGAGGATAGAAATTTAGGTCGTACAGGAGCCACATATGAAATTATGAAGAGAAAAAAGAGAAAGGGTTCGGTACCACTGCACAAATTTGGTCTTACTAGATTATTAGTGGATTCTATTGTTCAAGATATTACTTCTTTGAGTAGTCAACAGATATTGTAATAGAAACAAAAGGTTAGAGTAAAGAGATCCTAGAAGTAAAAGCAAGATACAAGACTGATCTAGCGACTTACCACCAATATTAAGTTTTGTTATGTAGTGTAGAATACGTGAATATCAAGCTTTTTTACGAACTCGGTGATGTTCTTCATGGTACTCTGCACAACATTGTACTTGATAGTACCGTGAGCATTAGTAAATGACCCAGTGCCACACATAATGGCCCACTGACCAGCCGTATTTGGAGGGGTAATCATTCCCAACACTTCAAGTGTGGAGCCTGCAAAACTATTATATATATGCAAAAAGATGGGCTATGAGGGTCATTTAACAGGCAAAAGAATTTACGGATACATAAGCTACGAGCACTCCCCCCAATCCAAAATACAGTCCAGTTGGATAATGACAAGGTCTTCAGTATGCCACTTTATCATTCATGTATATATATTACAAGTATTTTCCGTGATGACTCTAATACATTTCACATAATGTTGTCAATATATATAATATTTTTAGCTATTAATTTTATTTTTCTTCTAGATAAGGGACGAGTGTGTTAATCCTAACCTTGGAGCTCGTGAGAGTTACAAGCTATCGATTGTCAAAGTTAGATTGATGTGGAAACCTTTAAAAGCTGACATTTAGGATAAGAGGGAGTAGCATAAAATCTAAAAGAGTTATAGCTGCTTCAGGTTTAGTACGACACTCAGTTGAGCTAGAGTCAGATTTAGATTGAAGGGTAAGATATGTTTTTGCAGATCCAACAAGAGTTACTAGACTGAGGACTGAGGATGTGTTTGGATTTGCCTTCTAAACATTAGCTGGCTAAAGTTTAGTCAATTTGGATCCGAACGGGGTGACTAAAGAACCTCATAAACATTAGCCAACCCACCTTCAAAACATTAGTCCACTATAGTCACCTCAACCCTTGTAATCTTGGCTAAACACATGAAAAAGGTCAAAAATCACCCCCCCCCCCCCCCCAACCCCCATCGCACTCATTTTCCTTCTGCCGCCGCACTCGCTTCTTCTAAGGACCATTAGGTGTCAATTTTTTTGTTAGCAAGAGACCATTAGCCAGGGATCCAACAGGTACCTCCTAAACATTAGTTGGTTAAAATTTAGTTGGCTAGAGGATCCAGATAGGACCCGAGTGGAGTAGTCTAATGAATTGTTTGAAGAAGCACTTTTATTTGGTATTCAAATCCTTTGCAAGGGGTTAAAACAACCCGTGCATTTTTTTTCTTAGACTTCTTCTCACGCAAGTCATGAAAAACCCATAAACCTTTGCCCAACCTTACACAACGGCATTGTTGCCTGTGTGAGAACGACTAAAGACATTGGTCGAGCCTTAGACCTATGCTTTGGCATGGGACAGACGAGGGAAATTTTTAAACTCAATTCGAATTTCGCTCCCATAGGCGTCAAACCCAGGACCTAAGGAGTGCTATCAGACCCACCTAGCCAACTCCAGCTAGAGGCCCATTTGCTATTGTTAGGAGTAAATATACTACAAAAAATAAAGACGACCGCCCCAAGCATTGTATCAGCCAGGAACGTGGATAATTTTTTTTACCTGCCATTCTGGAATACAAAGATGTGAGAAGTGTACCAGCTGGTGCTGGTTGGACCTGCCTGGAGATGGAAGCCTTGTGCCCGTGCGAAAACTTTCTCGTTCGGATCGGGTCCGTCTGTTAGAATCCAGTCATGGATGATCATTGTGCCAAACCCAATTGGAGCACTACCGCATGTCATATATGCCTCGTTAGGGTTTGTAACATTTGGCCAAGAAGGGAACTGGTGCAAGTACATGTGCAGGGTAGTCTCATTTTGCTGGGGACAATTACATGGATTGTCAAATATATGATTAAGGGGGCTAGCCATGGCCACGACTGCCGGTAGCAAGAGGCAGAGGAAAATGAAGGAGCTGGAGTGAGTAGCCATGAAGTACATGACTCTCAGAAACAAGGGCAAGAGAGAAATGGAGCTTGATGGGAAGAGAGATGTCACTCCTTGCATACACCATGGTGGTGGGGCTGTATTTATAGATAATGCATGGAATGGAGTGGGTGAGCTAAGGGGTGGAGCAAAGCAGATAATTATTAATACGAGGTTTTGATCAATAATTTGCCCAAGGTTTGTGCCCGTTATCATGCTTGTTTTCTTCGCACTCTAAATACGAAAGAAGCACTACTAGCTATTAAGAGCCTGTATAATCATTTTTTATTGTTTTTGCAAGCAGGCCCTACTATGGCAGCTGCAAAATGGGGATGGAACAGAGCCCCAACAAATTAGGGCTCTTTGTGCATACTTACTAGTATATATTAATTGTTGACATCAATAAAAATCAAATAACTGTAGCAACTTGTTGGTGGTAAAATTTGGCAGGCGGTTTTGTTTTCAGAAGTTCCAAGTGCTGCAGTCAGTCTGTGGCAGGGCGATAATGTTCCTGTGAAGCTGATCAGATGGTTACGAGTTGGTCTTCATGGAGCTAGATATGAATAACAAGATCAGGTGAAGATTTACATGGTGTGCTACAGAGTTACGCGGTGATTTTTTCTACATGCTTACATGGTAGCTGTGTATTTACATGGATAGTCAGAGAAGGAGTGGCTTTGTTGGCTAGTTTCTGAAGGAGACAGAATGGTCGAGCTTATCTATTGTTGCCAGAGAATCAGCCAGCAGACCAAGTTCTGTTCGGATTCAAGTCGAAAAATTTTGAAAGCAGGACAAAGTTGATGCGATGATACTTGGCAGAGGAGTTCGTGTTCAGTTAGAGATAAGACACATACTTGAGCCTTGGAGTCAGTTTGTTTCAATTTGTATCAGTTACGATTTAGGATTTTGTTTGAGCCTGTTTCCATGGTTTAGATAAAATTGTTACGTAGAGGTAGAGGTCTGGTTGTCATATAAAACCAGGGATCGGTTAGCGTAGAAGGACCAAAAAAATCAATCGACACTTTTTTGTCTATTTTTCTTCTCGTATTCTGTTCTTCACTCTTTAATACTCCCTCCTTCTTTCCCAGAATAATTGGCATTCTGGGTTTATCGAACATTTTATGAATCTAGACAACATACCTGTCTAGATTTATAGAACATCCAAAACCGTAGCCAAGATGCCAAATAAAC